CCTCTGTCGCTGTCACCGTGGCTCCGTGCTCCACCGCCGTGGGCCAGATAAAATGGCTTGGTGGGCCCCATGTTGGACAAGCCTGGTATAAGCCATTCAGGTAAGTACATTTATCTGTTTGAGATACCAGAACCAGATATATCAGCCCTACAGTGTTAAAATGGCTTGGTGGGCCCCATGTTGGACAAGCCTGGTATAAGCCATTCAGGTAAGTACATTTATCTGTTTGAGATACCAGAACCAGATATATCAGCCCTACAGTGTAAGAAATAGTGTAAACGTGGAATTGTCTATCAAGGTCCTTTCTCCTGTCCCTGCTCCATTGCCATATAACAAAAGTCAGCCTCAACCATGACCACTCCCCTCTCATTTCTCAGCCTGTTTCCATTTGTCTTAAGAAGCTGCTCCAGAAGCCAGTGCCAATTTCTACAGCATGCTGAGGTATTTTATGAATTGGCACAGCAGTTAATGGGGTGCTGCTTCATCTGAGGATGGCTGTCAGCAAGTGAATAAGCAAGTCTGCTTTATCTGATGGGCTATAGTGAATGAGAGTAAGCCTGTTGTATGCCCCAAGTGTGCCAGAGATCACCATGGGGTTAAATTTTCTAGATTTAAAATTCCTAGAACAAAATGCAAATTTCTTCCTTTCAGCTAGTATCCAGTATCTCCGAGGAGCAGAGCTGGCTGTGCTGCAGGTATCCAGTAATCGACAAATCTGTGTCCAGTTTGACTTTCAGAACAACCTGCCTCTTCAGGTCCGTCCAGATGGAAGCCGGGTGAGTGTGGAGGGCTCTGACAAGGTTATGTATGTCACAGGTGTGTTTCTGTTTTGCTCGATTAAAAGTCAGGCTATCAGTGAAAGGAATAGAATTCTTAGCCAGGCAGGTTAGTCCTGAGCTACAGGCCTTTCTTTTGGGAGATCTAGATTTGTTTTCCAACTCTGCTTAGATTTCCTGTGTGACCTTGTACAAATCATGTCCTTGCTCTTTCCCATCTATAAAATGGGAATGGTGATGCTCCTTTTCTCCTACCCTTTGTTATTTAGATTATAACTGTCCTCTGGCACAGAAAAACAGAGACTTTTAATTACTGTATATTTGTATGGTGCCTTGTACAGTGCTACTGAAATACAAATAATCTTAACAACTGTTATTCCCTATGCAAAAGTAATGGTATGATATAAATATATTGCTTTTAATTCACTCCTTATATCACCAAGCTACTTCTTTGCTATATCAGGAAAGGAAGCCCTACAGTGACTGCTTGCTCTTTCTACGCTATTTCCTTTCCAACTGCCTCATCCATCCATAGCTCCCTTTGGGAACAGCTTGAGCTCACTTCTTGGGACTATTTGAGATTAAGCAGAAGCATGTTGGGGAGAACAGCTCTGGCTTCCAGGAGCTTACGGATCTTTCCCAGGAGTTTTACCTCCTCACTCATCTGTGAGAACATTGTAGGTAAAGAAGCAGAAATGACAAAACACAGCAACTGCTTAGCCATGCATACAACTACTTAGCAGCACAAAAATTTTCCTCTCAAACTGTATAAATGCCATTAATCCTAACTTTCCTTTATTACAATCTAAACTGTCTTCAGTTTGGAACTTAACTTAGGTAAAACTAGGCATGCAGCTGAGTGCACCCTTGTCATTGTAGGCAATAGTTCCATAGCATGACTCAGGCTTTACCATTACAAACCGAGAGAGTTTTGGAGGGAAGGTCCAAGAGACGGACAATATTCAATTAACTTGGAAGCTGTTGCTTATCATGGCTGAAGAAAAGGATTAACTGTGGGGAAGAGAAAAGAATTGGTAATTTCAGTGACTAGACAGTTCAGTTGTGAGAATGAGACTGTCTTATCCTTTGTTTCAGTGGAACTTCACTTTTGATCGCTTTGAAGTGGAGCCTGGCCAGTTGTACCAAGTGACCGTTCATCATCTGCCCAAACTGGGTGTAAATGGAGACCACAACTGCAAATCCAAGTCTTTCAAAATGCCTGGTAGGGAATCCTCTGATGGTTTCTACTAGGCCTTGAGATTGGAATACCAATTTTCCAGTTCTATGACTGGTGGGATGGGGTCTGTGGCTGTGAATCTTGCTGCCTCCAGAGATGAATATGAAATCATGACATGCCTTTTTAGAGTTCAGTACCAGGTGACTCACTTTGCCACAGACCTTCCCTCATTAAGGGTATTTTTACACATGCAGGCACCGCAGGGCCGGGTGCTTTGAAAAGCGCCTAGTGCTGCGTCACTTGCAGTTGTATAAATGGTGAAATGCACGTCAGCATTAAGAAAATGGCAGCGGTCTGCTTTTGAACTAAAATACATAGAAGGTGGTTTAGTTCAAAAGTGTACCACCGCCATTTCCTCCATGCTGACGCACATTTTGCTGCTTATACAACTGCAAGCAACGCAGCGACATGCTTGTCAGCTCACATGTGGAACAGAGCAGATTCGATTAATCGAGTCTATCTGCTAGATCTCCACAGTCTATCTGCACAAAAATGTATGTGTATAAATGACCCAAATGTTGAGGGAAGATTATAGAATGGATGCAAGTTTTCTTGTTTTCTCTGAAAAGAGATCCTTGTCTTAGGAGGATCCTAAAAATAATGGTGTAATTGGAAGAAATGGCTCATACTTGTGCTATAGTAATACTATTTTAATTGTTCTGTTTTGATGCTTTTTTGGTGGATCAAAAATTGTTTGCATTCTGATATTCTAAATGTAAGTGCAACATCTCAGTGTGAAAAGCCAACAGCATCTCCTTTTCCTGCAGATTGTGAGGATTCTTTGATGAAAACAACCACACCATGTTTGCAGATAGGTAAAGCATGGCTGTACTTGTTATAGCAGTGGGAATTGGTGCCCCCATATGACTGCCTAGAAAGGTTTTGTAATTCTGAAATATCTTTATTATTTGCAGGCAGTCTGTGGGAACCTAACATTTATTTTGAAAGTCTGGATGACAAATCTTTTTTGGTGAGTTTTAGCCCAGGGATGGAGCCAGCCCGATACCGGATCCATGTGACCAGTTTCCAAGATGAGCAGAACCAATGTAAAGACACCACGCAGGATATCTCTGAGGTATAATCACTTTCCCTCCCACATCTGTACTGAAACCACTCTAAACAAAACCATCCTCTACATTTACTAAATAGCATGGTAAAGGCAAAACCCGGGGAGAGCTCATAGTTGTGTCTGGCTTTGTTTTGGGGATTCTGGCAGACAGGAACCCAGCTTCTGAGAAGAGCTGGAAAAATGGTAGGAGGATTGAAAGACGTGCCTTATATGGAAAGACTTAAAGAGCTCAATTTTTGTTTTAACAGATTAAATTAAGGGGTGATTTCATTAGTCTATAAATACCTACGGGGGAACAAAAATGTGATGATCAGCTCTTCAGTCTAGCAGGCAAAAGTAAATAAGATCCATTACACCTGACAACTAACATTAGATAAATGTGGACTAAAAATAAGGAACAATTTTTTGAGGATAACAAACTATTGAAGCAGCTTGCCAAGTGTAATGAATTTCCAGCCCAGTGGCAATTTTTTAAAATCGCAGCAGGATGCTTTTCTAAAAGAGATGCTGCCATTCAAATAGGAATGAATTTGGGGAGATCTTAAGGCATGTTTTATGAGAGATCTCGGACTAGATGATCAGTAGTCCCTTTTGGGCTTGGAATCTATGTAGTCCAAATGAAGATCTCCACGTAGCAGTATTTGGGAGAGCTTGAAGAAAAATCTCTCAAATATTGACATCTGTTCCCACCCTCTATCAGGGGTTTAGATGTGAAGTCTACATATTTATAACTGCTAATCTGTCCCATCCTGTTTAGATCCACATTCCTCTTTCTCTCAATGCACTAATACGTAGTAGAATTGCTAGAATGCTGTATACAACAGTCTGACAGAGGAATAATGTCTAACTGAAAAACAAAGTCCCTACCAGTTACTGCAAGGAATATAACCCCAGCAAGATACTGGTTGTCTCTTATAGATTATACATGATGTTTACCTGCATATTCAAGTACCGCAAGTAATAATGGAAAGATAGCCTCTGGGTTAAGCTAGAAAGCTTGTACATTGAACAACTTTAAACCTGAGATACAAGACTCTTATGTACCACTTTAACTTCTATATTTTCAGGTTTCAGTACTTACCTCTGCAACCTCAGTGCTCTATCAGTTGTTTATAATATGAATGACGTAGTCTTTTTCTGGAGCTGCTATGTGGTAGCTCTTTTCTCCTGCCTAAATTAATTAGAAACTTTCCCTTTGTCTTGCTCAGTAACTTCATATCCTTTGACTCGCATGTTTTGCTCTCACCTGTGTTTCCCTTCCCCTGCCCCCTCAACCTCAACTTCCAGTCTGTTTATTTTCTGCCTTCCCTCATCACTGTTCTGTCTCATATCTGCAGAAAGGGTTGCAGCAGCGCGTGAATGTCACACTCAGATTCGAAAAACCTATAAGAACTTGTTGCACATACAAAGTCCAGGTAAGTTCCTGCCTGTTCTTGCTGCAGGGAGAAATATGTATGTGATGAATCATCTCTGACCAGTTAAGCTATTACTAGGACACAGACCTTTATCAAAAGTTAATTCCCAATTTCCCACACACCAGGGAAGTTGGGCCCACTCCTGAAAGAATACTTATTATATTATGAACACATTCTCCAGATGCAGTGAACTTTCATCTCTTTTTTTTCATACTAACCACTCTTGGGAGACTCTGGAGATGGAGTAGCTGGGTATGGCCCTCATGACCAGGTCTGCTATCTTTGGGTAGAGAGTAGCCCCCAGAACCTTTAATCACACCCCTAACATTTTGGGGAGACTATAGGCCCAATTTCTATCATACTGTTACAGTTTAAAGGGAAGGGTCGTGGGGAGCAGGTGGCTGGCAGAAATACTTCCATTTTGCTGATTTGTTTTAACTGCAGATTCAGCCGTTTTTTGCAAATTGTGGCACTGACTGTACAAGGCACTTGAGTGTCTTTCAATGTCCACCTGCTCCAAGTAAGAACTTCTTTCTACTAAATTAGATTTGTACTATTTTAAAGATGGTAGTTGAGCCTTGATCTAATTCTCTGTTTTGCATTTGATTATTTTTCAGCTTCACAACCTACAGGTAAGAATTCCTTTCTAGGTACTAGAACTTCCCTTTACATTTGTTTTCCTCTGCCTGTAACAAAGAGTGGCCAGCATGTGAGCCAGTCTACACACAGAATAGCATTATTCATGAAGTTCTGCTTGTCATTCTTTGGGTGTCTTGAGTCCAGAATTCATAGATCTGGTAAAACTGCCTTATTTTGCATTAAAAGAGAAAGCTTTTAACCATATTTACCCAAATATAAGACAACCCCGATAATTAGATTCTATACATGGAAAATGTATAAATTTGCTTTAATTTTCCATGTATATAATCTAATTATTGGAGGGTTATCTTTAATTCATCCTCCCCACTGCTGCAGGGAAGTAGACAGTCAGGGGGCAGAGGGGCAGGTGGTGTGGAGGGGTCAAACAGCTTGCCTCAGCTTGTGCCTGCCCCTCAGCCTCTGCTCCCCACTTCCCCCCCCAGCCTTTGTTCTCTGCTTCTCCCCTCCTTACTCTTGCTCTATGCTGGCAAGCTCTGTCCCCATTCCAGCCTGTGGCATGAAGCACAGGCCCAGCTCAGCCTCTGTACCAGGCATGCGGGGGCCACTGCATGCCACTATATGGGGCTGGGATGGGGCTGTTTCCATAATTCTGAGGGCAGGGTTGCTGCTATCCAGCTGATACCTAGTGTTCAAGGTAGAGTTTTGTGGTTGGACGAGATTTTCCTTGGCAGATAAAATTGTGTTTGAATGCTCTGTCTGACTGTTCTTTCTTATACCATAGATGATCTGTTTATGTGGCTGTACTGGTGTATCACTGGCTTCTGTGTTTTACTGGTGGGATCAATTATTGCTGGGGCCATTTATATGACCCAAACACAACCAGGTAAGGACCACACCAGTGAGGGAAGGAAAGACTCTAAGGCATGCTTACACATCTCTCACCCTGTATCTTCTTATTTCCTTCCCTGGATCCTCGTGTGACTTTCTGCCAGGAAAAGCATTTCCTTTAGCCCATGTTATAGGACTCATGGCATCCTAATACAAAGCAAGCATACTTTTTTCTAAAACACCATGTTAACTGAAGGTCTCTTGTGTTCTTTGGGGTTGCATTGGCCTTAAGTTCCATCCCTGATAAAGCTTCTCAGTTCTTGAGTGGCCTGGCTGCAGTATTCAGCCCTCTATCTCCAATATTCCCTGGGACTTGATATGAAGTTTCTGCAGCCTGATTTGTTTCTTCTCATAGTTTCATAGTTTCAGGGTCGGAAGGGACCTAATAGATCTTCTAGCCCGACCCCCCGCCAGGGCGGGAGAACAACCCAAAAAAAAACTCACCCTAAAAACAAAAACGGGACTCAAATGAGTCCAGCCAGGTAAGTATCCAGAGTTCTTAATTTCTTCTTCCTTTTCCTTCATGTGTGTTTTCCCTTTCCCCTTTTTCTGCTTCCCCCACACCTACTTCTTATGTCCACTCCACAGGTTCGTTTCACATTCCTGTTTTGAGAAATCCTCTGGGGCTCTGCCGGCTGCTTCTGTGACGGTAGAACCAGCGCATCTCTGCTTTATACCTTTCATTAAGTACGAGGAGGGAATCAGCCTGGTCCTGCTTTGCAGCCAGTGTTGTGGTGTTCCCTGCATTCCTACTGCAGGCATGTGCAGACATGTAGATGTACAATTATATATCATTTCTTTTCAATACCAGCCCTTGTGCCTTGGTGGTGGAAGGGTGTTGAGCAGTTTGAGCTGTGGCTTTGTTGGAGGGGGTCATTTGTGCAGCAGGTTCTCTAGGATACCATTTCTCAAGCTGTGGGTTGTGACCCAAAAGTGGGTTGCAAGCAGGGGCGACGTGTAGGGGGTGCATGCAGGTGCATGTGTACTGTCTGAGCATGGTGGTGCACCCCCTACAAAAAGTGTTGAGGGTTGGCCCTGCTGGTGGTGGCTGCAGGAGGTTGCTGACCCTTGGTTGGCGCTGAGCTCCAGCCTGCAAGGGGCTGCTGCCCCCGCCCCCCACACTGGGGGGGTGGGGCGGG